TTAACGCCGCCTCTTTTGGATTATAAAAGACAAGAATATCTTTATCATAATATTCGCCCATTTGTTAGAGATAAATTCAAGGATGTTACTTGTCCAAGACCAACCTATACTGATAACGAATAAAAAACATTTCAGTCAACCGCAAATTTATTAGTTTATTAAATTCTTAAATCTCTTCTTGAAACAACTTTACAGTACTGCATCAGAAAGAACATTGAAATACACGATAATGATGCCAAAACAATGTGTAAATTTACAAGATCAACTTTAGTAATAGTCAACACTTAATACTTGTAAAAGAATATTGTTCCCATGAAAGCCCTGCAATAATTGGATTTTGTAAATACAAGCCGCTCCAGTAAAGTTATTTATTAAAATTTACTACCCGTATATGAAAAATGATAATTATAACGGTTCAACCGAACATGAAAAAGCAATATGTTTCCTGGAGATAGGTTGCCATTGTGGAGGATTCCAAGAGAAAATTTTGCTGAAATACGTGAAGCATTTCAAGTTCTAGAACCGAACAAGATATATTTTTAATGGTCGCACTCACTTTGAGAATGTTAGAATTCACCTGGCGACGGATGGTATAATACCGCGCGTTTATGGTAATGTAAAAAGAATGAATTATCGACAAAACCTGATTGGCTATTACATTCTGCGTATAACAAGCGGGCGGGTCGAAAACTTGATGATTGCGGAATGACCCACCTGTGGATCGTATCACGCGATGAAGAATTCCAAAAGAGCTAACATTTACACTGTTTAACGTAATTGCCGCCATTAGTTTATACACTAAGGGCACGAATTAATTTAGTTAGATAATTCCCTGTTGAAGTTAGTGATCTAGATAATAATGTACTAATCAGCGAACGCGGGAAATTTTCTCGTGATGGCGTAATTGGGATAGTTATAAATGTGTGACGTAGTGCTAACGTCATGATAACGACGGCGATGGCGTTGGATATAAGAACGCAATAGCGCGCAAGAAACAATTTGGTATGGTCGATAATGGCGAGACTTCTTCCAGCACCTTTAGTAAGCGATAAACTACGCAAGATAACCGCAGGCATATGGGTACAGCAGCAGCAGCAGAGCCAGGAGCTAGTATTTTGTCGATTAAGTAGCAAGATCTCAGATGTACTTCGCTTATGCAATGAACACGAACTTATGTCACTCCCCGTGTTTCACGAAGAACTTAACAAGTTCGTCGCCATCGTCAATCTATTTCATGTGATGAAATATCTGATGCTACATGTTTATACCGATTTGAACAATCGAGATGAATTAGAATATGATAAAAAAACGAGAAACGATGTTATCAACCTCTTCAAAGACACCGTTAGTGACATTATCGATTCATGGGGAGCATATGCATTCCCTGTGCATCTTGCCGATGATCCATTACTGGAGGTAATGCAAGAGTTTATATTGAAACCCAACACGTACGCGATTCTAGTAGATACGTCTCAACCTAGAGAAAAGACTGGAAGCGACACGCAGCGAGTTTCTGTCCTTACACAACGTGACGCTATCAATTACATTCTTAATGATCCCGAATTGAGAGAATGCGTACAGGATGTGCCTGCTAAGAACGTAATTCAGAGGTCATGGAAAACATTCACGGAAAGGGATGATCCCAACCAGCTACTGCATAGACTACCAGTTTCTAACGTTCAATCATCATATGTGCTCTATATTTCTCATCTTGTGAGCGCTTTGACAGGCTTCCGGAGCATGGTAGGTAAAGCGATAAAGAATTACGCGTGCACAGATGTTGGTTTACGTTCTGCTCACATCCTCTGCATTACAGGCCATACACGGTGTCAGCTCCATGGCTGTTGTTGACAAACAGGATGGCAGCATCAAATTATTGGACAATCTATCTGCATCAGATATTCGACATTTTACTGAGGATACTATGAGTGATGTCTTTCTTCCCGTATCGGATTATCTCAAGAAGGTGCGTAAAAGCGAGCGAAAACTCGTTGTATGCTATGAAGATACCCCATTAAGGGAAGTAATGGAGCTGGCGGTGAAGAATTCAGTACATAGAGTGTGGGTGATCGAACAGGAGAGCGAAAAACCGGTCGGGGAGATATCAATGACGGATATGTTGGCTATGTATGCTGGTATCAATAGATCTTAATACCAGAATAGTTGCTTCAATCTTTTTTGTTCTCTTGTTTGTTTGTTTGTTTGTTTGTTTTTATTCTTTGTTTGTATTGAGTTTTTGACGAAATTCATTCTATTATGCGCAAAATAATAAATTCCTGCTGCTGACCATGTGACCACATAGACATGTTACTTTATTGAAACCTGCCATTTTTGGGAAACAATAAATTCGCGATAATTGGTTCAAGACCATGTTTGTAAGGCGAGGCCGTAAACAAGTACAAAACGTTAGTTTGAGTTACATATGAAGGGACAACTGCAAAACAAACAATCTGTGGTCATATTCACGTGCCAATCCGTTTAAAATTTTCCGTGGGCGCATGTTTCAAGAGATTATATTGCCAAGAAATTGTAAAAAAACAACCAATCAAAACCAAAGATACATTAAAGTCCACAGTCTGCATGAATAACTCTTTTGCTATCGCCGCGGAGAACAGGAAGAATATTACGATTTTTCCTGTTCACCTCTGAGACTTTCATCGATGAATACGCCGGTCAAAATGCAGGTCATGAACGTATTAACATGATATAATTTATTAGACTCAAACACGAGCCACGCTGTGCCGCCAAAGCAGTCTTTCTAAAACTTTAGTTAGTTGCTCCCCCAAATAGTCCTTGTTAACTGAGAGTTTAACACGAGCATTATATGGGACTTATTGTTGTGATGTGCGTAATGACCTGCCTCTGTGAAATACGCGTAATTAGCTGCAGCTTCAGAATATTTACAATACATAAATATTTTAAAATGAATGAATCCGTGTTTTTGTTTTGGTCGATGCAATTATAAAATAAAGTTTACAATATATCTTGTGTTTGCAGTGAGAAAATTAATCAAAAAAAAAGTGATTGAAAGATAAAATCGTCAGCCTTAATCTTAATAACCTACGTATTTCGTACTCTCAATATTTCATCAATGGCGGGTAAATCATCTCTATGCTATAAAAAACCGATAGCAATTGGTCTATTATTTTAAGAAAACTTTGTAAACTTTTTTACAAACATCTATCGACAGACTTTACAGCTTTAAAGTTTGCCTTTCACAAGTGAATTGATTCTCGGGTTATTAATTCATGGAGCTTTTGGATTTTATGAACTTACCATTCGGCATGCAAAAGTCAAGTTGTGCCAG